GAAACAGTAAGTGACCAAAAGTGTAGAGTACTTTACCTTGAGCAGAGGTGCTCCAGCCTTCTGCATTTCTTGCCAGAATAGCTGTAACCCTATTGCCTGCCGATTGCGTATTGTGACTCTCTTAGATAAACTCTGAAGAGCTCAGACCAAAATCTGAAAGCAACGTTAAGTGTGTTGTACTGGGAGTTTTTGCCTGTGTAGTTAAATGTAGATCAGTGATCCTTTTCAGCATTAGTGTTAACAGGGGATTATTTGGAATACGCATACATTGGAAAAGGTTATCGCTTATTTTTGGCTTCCAGAAGGAAGATAGAAGGGGGCTGTGTGACCCTGTCTTTTGTGGAGTTAGTTATTTTGTCCTTGATAACTTTGCAACCCCATATTCTGTTGTTTGGATAGCAGTCTGAGTATTAAGTGCAGTTGTAATTTTTTGTTAACAGTATACCACTTCCTTTGGCTCTTGCTCAGTTTCAGCTAATCCTATCTCAAACAAACTCTTGATGAAACAAGAAGGAGTTGGACTGAATTGAGGAATGAATCGATGCTGAGTATGGCTTTGGGGATGACCAAATTATAATAATTCTATATGTCATCTAATCATTAGGTAGTAAAATTCTGTTCCAGAAAGGTATTCAGCATTGCTCCTCAAGATTTGCATCTATGTTACATCTCCTTTTCTTTCTGAGAGGGAGGTAAAAATTATATACTTGGTGCATGATTTACTGTAAGTCTTTTGTTTGTGGTGCAGTATTGTTCCTAGAATTGGGGGCTGTGTGAATCTTTTATTTAAAAGCAAAACAAAGTTACTGAGTAAGTCTCGTTCCCTCTAGTAAAAAAAAAAAATAAAAATAGCATGACTTCAGGGCCACTCCCCAGTTTGTTTCAGGGCACGCCATACGTTATACGGTGGAGATCCTCCAGGGAAACATGAGTGAGTTAATGAATATTTTTCCATCTTGTAATTGAATTAAAAAAATAAAACCGCTGTTCTACTATGACATTGTGGAATACTACGTGAGCAGTAGTAGTCTCGGCTACAGCTGCCCAAGCTGGCCCGTTTTAGAGACCATGTAGGTTGTGCTAGTGGGAAATGGGAACTTCACCCCATCGTGTGTTGGGGACAGCCCACAGGACTTCTTGGCACCATCCTGGTCCGAACCTGGCAGCTGTGTTCAGACCAGTTCCCCAGCCGTCAGCTGGTCTCCAGGGTGTTTCGGGGGGAGGCGGTCGGGAGCAGGAGGTTCTAACAAATAACTCTGGCGGGAGAGGTATGGTCCAGCAGTAGGATACTACTGCTTAGACCACTCGTCACATTTATTATAGTCAATCTGCAATGTATCACTAATAAACACTCTGAATATTACCCAGTCGTCCACCCGTCACTACTTACAGCAGCGTTCTAGTTCATAAGTGCAGGATGCTGTAGTGTGGTTTTATTTTATTAAAAGCAAAAAGGCTTGACTTTTTAGATAAACTGGAATCAACATCTGTGCACAGTACATAAAAGTTAATTTTATATGTAAGTAAAATATAGGGCAGGTAGCTATACTGTGAGGAATGAAAAGTAGACTGAAGTGGAAATGGAGGTGGACATTCAGCGGAGATTCAGCCACGGTGCCTGAGGAAAAGCTACTATATCTACTACAGACACATGAATTCAAGAGTGGCTCATTTAAGAACCAAGTCTTGTTTTTTTTTAATGATGCACTGAATTTTTCACTGTAAAAGAAACTCCCCCCCAAAAGATGATATATTCACATCTGTACAGTCAGAACAGACAGCTAAGATAGGAAATGGTTAACTGCCACAAATAAGCATGTAATGAGAAGTTCTTAATTTATCTCTGATTATATTGAAGCAATAACGAATCTCTAATTCACTGTTTGTTTATTGGAAATAAAGTGATATATTTTGGGGAGGATTAAGAGAAAGATGCTGCTTGCCTGTTTTTTAGGAATACAAAATTTACTATGCTGCTTAGATGGATAATGTGGGTGCTAATTGAAGTACACTCTCATTCCCACTAGAGGGGGGTCCTCTCAGACTAGGTTGTGATGCGTTTTGATTTTTTTTTTCCCTTCAGCCTGAGGAAAACCTCAGATTGTCTCATATCTTGTTTCAGTACTTTATGCTGTGTATCTTATGGTGTCAGCAGTTACTCTCCTCTTGCTGATCTTAATTGCATTTCATACAAAGAGGTGAAAACTAAACATGAATGGACTAATGCAGTGGTACAGCAGTACATGCAGTAGTAACAAAGAGTACAGAGGATATTTTATTGCATCATCCTCATAATGAAGACAAGTATTTTATTGCAGAAGTGTTGTGATCACTCTTGGAAAAACACAAGTGGCGTTATCAAGCCTGTTCAATAACATTTTTGATTAGAGTTATCATCTACACCGATAGCTACACTCTGAGCCATTTTGTTGTCTGTTGAAGCCTTACATTTCTCTACGTAAAGGAAAATACTTCTGTTTGTAAAAGAGACTAAGAATATTTTGGCTATTTTTTTTTTTACTGTTTGATGTCATAATTTGTTGTTGTTCTCAGTTCCTCAGTGAAAAGAAAGAGAAGTGAGTTTTGTAAAAGTGCTGGCTGTGGTGCCATCTTACCTTGTGTGTACTGAAACCAGAGCAATCGAGAATCGACATCTCTTTCTACTGGGAGGGCTGCCTAGGCACGACCTGTGTGTTGGTAATCCCACGCCATTATGCAGCAAAGGCTTCCAGATGGTGCATGGGCCTCTGTGCAGGTGGAGCCCAAATGAGCAAAGCTTGGCCTGGCCTGTGCTGGGCGCCTGCAGCTGGGAGAAGGAGGAGAGAGCACAAAGCAGCCCCAGGAAGGCACCTGAGCCCTGCTAGGACCACAGGAGCAGAGGAGCAAGGGGCAGCAGAGCAGCATGGGGCAGTGGGGGGGGGCAGCAGAGGGACCCCGTGATGCAGAGAAGGTGGGCAGGCTTTCCTGATGAATCTCCGCTACAAAAGGTTTAGAACCGATGGAGCAGAGTAATATGTATTGAAGGATTTGGAGGTAGCAGCTGGGGTATGTGAACAGCATAATACTGGGTAGATGTAACTGAGTTAGTTTTAAACCAGCTTGCTCAAGTTTTGGAGTCTGTGTAGCCGTGGTAGCGAGGCGTTACGCCAAAGCAATTAGCCTAGTGGAAATGGACGTCTGCAATATAGATGGGTACACCCATTAACCCTAGCTGGACTGCTTCTGATACGGGAATTACTTTTTTCAGAAGCGGCTTGAGTATCTGACTAGGGCACTGTACTGTGACATACTGTTATTTCCAGTCCAGCCTCTGATTATCCTCTTTTTGGCCTTGGGCAAGTCACTTAACCCCTCTGTCTGTTTCTTCATCTGTAAAATATATTATGGATATTTATCAGTCTCACCAGGACTGATTGTTTAATATTTATAAAGTGCCTAAAGGATTAGAAGCTTAATATTAGTAGCTAATACATATCACTTCGGATTGATTTTATTTACTTGGATTTTTTTTTTCCTACCTCCTATTGAACGAGATCCCATTTTGTAGCCTCTTACTGCCATTCCTAATCAGCTGGACAGGTCACAATTGGGTAACATGAGGTTCATTTTCTCCTTTTGTTCTTAGTTCCTATAAATCCTTTATCCTCGCTCCCTTCTTTTTCCTCCTTTTTTAATTTAGAGATGAAGAGATACCATATGTTACTAGATCATGACATAAATATATGTAAGTGCCGCCATCATTGTTAGTTTATCAGCCTTTCCATTATAAACCCTCTTGTTCAGGGGTTTATAACTCTGGCATTATAATGTGCTTCAGGCTGAAACTTGACATTCATTTTTTCCCCCTTGATTTGCTTTAAAACCTTCACTCTTTCTTAAGTTAAACTGGAGATTAGATACATTAGTTATAGTTATACTAGTTGTATAAATTATAATGCAGCAGTAGGCATCTTTAATAGGATGTAAATCAGAAGTAGAAAATTTCCTACTGCTAAAACTATGAGCCCAGGAGTAGAAATCCGGGCTTCTTTTCCAGAATGTGTCCCTGGTTTGGCATGTGACTACTAGGAGATTAGTTAGCTTCTCTCTGCCTCGCTTTTCTATCTGTATATTGGGATGATGAGGTTTCCTAGTTCACTGGACTATTGGGAAGCTTAATTAATTAGAAATCATAAACACACTGAGATTCTCAGGTGAAAGGTGCTGAAGTGTGAAGTATTTTTAAGGCGACTAATGAAAAATCAGTGCACGTGCTTTTTTGTTTCTGCAGTCATTGTCACGGATTAACGCATATCAACTCTTTGAGCTGTAAGATATGTGGTAACCAGTAAGGAATTTGATTTGGAGCACTACTAGATCACTTAACAGCTCACTTTTCTCAAGCTTTCAAACATTCACTGTATCTTGCAGCTCGATAGCCTCAGCCTTTGCCTAGGGAGTTTGTCTTCCTTGAATTCCACAGTTTTGAGTGAATTCACTTTGCTCAAGACAGGGCAGGAGTGTGTAAGTGAGCCCTTATGCTGCTGAGTTTCCAGTTTAAGCTGTTCCACTTCGTGCTCATGCAGGAGGATTCAGCCTAGTAGGTGGAAGAAAACAGGAGGAGAAGAGCTCGGATTATTCCTGTCTTTTTAGCAGGGAGTTGTCACGGCTGGTGATTCTGGTTGTTCTCAGGCAGCTTTTTGTTGTAGCCAAGACTCCATATGGAAAACAAGGTCGCAGCTGTCAGGCAGTAAGTTTTGGGACACTGAAAGATGTTCCTCATGTGATTTAGGTTGAGGGACCTTTCTGTGTCTTGAAGGGTGCTTTCTGAGTTTCTCTTGAGGGTTTCTGTTGTCAGCTGTTAGTTCAGCGTGTCAGCATGTATGTAGGCTTTCCTGGGGTTGACCCAGACTAGTGTCTTTGCTCACAGAACTACTCATTGCCTGGACTGTGGTGCTGTGCTCAGGAGAGGTTGTTGGTAGTGGCTAAATTTGAAATGATCTTTCTCCTTATAATTTCAGGGCGAAGTCTTGGCCTCGGAGGATGCTACATTTGGACACAAGGTGTGTAGTTTGGTGCAGTTCTGTTATTGAGGTCCCATAATTTTAAATTGTTGGATGTGATGTCACAGCAGAAGGGAATTTTCAGCCTGAGAATTGAGGCTCCTGTGACTTGTATCCACCAAAATATGGTGGAATGGGAGATTTTCCCTTATGTGTGGTATTCTGAGAATGGCGCACAGGCTGTTTTAGTCATGTTATTTGTATGAATGATTTAAACAAATTTTAGTTAGGGAAGCCCAGGTGGAAGAGTGGAAGTTCAGCTTTCTAGTGACTTTTAAGAGCGGAGTTGCCCGAGTGTTGTATCTGTTCTTGTTCCACAGATTTGCAGCTCAAAAATCCTAGTCCTTATCTGCTTTGCAATCTGTAAGCCACTTATATATTATGAGCCTTTTTCACAGTGCATCTCAACTAGAAATTAATACACTAAACAGCTGCATCACCCTGTGTTCAATTGTAGATCAATGTATGGCACAACAGTATACATGTCTGAGAGATCACTTTAGGTCTACTCTGCAAAATGAATAGGGTATGTGCTAATTATTGCTTGACTTTCTTTGGCCAGTGAGCCTTATGGTGTTGACCATAGTTTTCAGTTGAGTGCTAATAGCAGATGATTTTAGGCAAGGCAGATTGTGTGTAGGCTAGATCTGGTTAGCTGAAAAAAGAGAGTGGATAGGGGAGGGGAAGAAGGAGTTGTAGGAACAGTAGGCTAAATCGTGACAATGAAGAATTTCCTACTGCTGAAGGCCCACGTGCAGTGATACCACTACAGGTGAGAAAATAGCAGTGCTGTTACTACCCAGGTGAAAAAAAACAATGAAAGATTAAATAAGTTCTCCAAGTTTATATAGGATACCAGAAGCAAAATTAACCCACATGAGAAAAAAAAACTTTAAAAGCACCTAAATATTCATGATGCCAGAACTTAGAGTTGTGCCTTTATTGTGTGTTTTAGGTTGTGATATCTGATAGTGATTTAAATAAATTATTAAAAAATAAACAGCACTACTCCAGTATTATTTGAAGTATTTAACATATGGTAGTCTGCAGTATTTTCCATTTTTTACTTACTACCCAGCATGCATACAGAATATTCACTGAATATTTAATAAACCTGGAGGGTCAGCTCTTGTGAACTCATCTCCATAATCCTTCAGACTAGCTGGGTAAACAGAAATATTACTGAAGATTATTGTAGCCAATAGCTCTCACAACTAAAACACTGTGAAGGAGGCTCTTACTTTTTTTTATGGCTAAATTTATAAGTTATTTTTTTGGTCTTACAGTCATCTTGATGGGCATCATTTGAAATGCCTTTCTACCACCAAAAGTTTTAAGAATTTTCTTTTACCAAGAGTCTGATTTTACAAAACTGAATATGTACTATTGCCAGCTCTAACATCATCTTCCAGAGACCCAAGCAACCTTTCTGTAAGATTCAACATTAGAACCAACAAGTTCTTTCATCTCTCTTAAAAAGTAGTTCTACATTATAGTAGAATATCTGTATTTAAGAATGTCGTGTACTTTTTATCTGTCAAGAAAAAAAGACCAGAAGAAAGTTAAATGTTTCTTCCCAAATTTGTTAATCCCACAATTTATCTTAGCTGTCTGCTTTAGACTTTCTGTGAAAGCTTTTTCTTTCCTTCTCCCCCTTTAAAGCATGCTTCCTCTATTGCCTGTCTCAATGACAAGTAAATGTTAGTCTTTCAGTGTTATATTAACAAACCAGTTGGCATGCCCATGGAGAATACATGTAAACAAAATTTTTGAAAAGAAAACTGATTTTCATTTCATAACTAGAATAAAAATCTTTCTTAAAATAGGAAAACTGTTACCAGATTATAGAGATGAGAAGGATGTAAGCTTAGAGTTCGCACAATATAATGCTAGCCTTGATACCATTTTTCAGCCTGGGTTTCCTTCTCGATCTAAGACAGACTCTTGGGGAGCTATCTCTGTAATACTGCATGTAGCGTGTGCCTCAGCTTGTTACCTGGTGTAGTCCCCTTTGTGTACATACGCAGAAGCCTAAGTTGCTGCAGAGAGTGGCTGTTCTTTCGACTGTATCCGTTCCACCTGTCCTTGGACATTTATCACCTAGTCTTACACTTGTTGACAGGCTGTTTCCTATAGATACTGCAATACTGTTTTTTTAAAAAGAGCATTTCTGAAATGCTGAAGGAGCTTATAATATTATCCTTTTGTTTTAAATCCTCTGTGTTTTCAGTCTCGTGGTAAATACCCGTACTGGCAGCGAGTGGGTCTGTTTCCCTGGAAAGCGAGCTGGTTGAGACAGCAGAACAGCGTTGCATTTCACCATAGTTGCTGCCCACAAAGTGAAGATCTGGACGCTTGTCTGTTCCTTGAATATTTGGGTCTTTGGTGATAAGCTTGAGTAGAAATCAGCTACAGAATCTTTTGGATGTGAGATCTGCATGTGGATTTGAACAAAACAATTTCTGAGTTAGAAAGAAAATTAAAACAAAAGCTACTGTTGAACATTGTCCAAAAAAAAAAAAAAAAAAACAGGGGAAGAGTGACTTGAAGTTACAAACTTTCAAATCTTATCTTAATCCTTAAGCTTCAAATGGGTACAGATTGCACACTATTAGTTATGATTCTTCAAAATGTTCCTTCTACCTCACTTTTTTAATAAGAAAACAGATTTTCCCCAAAGTAAAGGCAGAACACAAAGCATTTGTTGGAGTAAAAATGCCATTTTTAATATGAACATTATTGTTTTTTCTTTATTTTGTGTCTATGTGAGACCAATACTCTTTAATGATTCATTAAAGTATAAACAGTTTTTCAGTCAAATTTAAGTAAATTGTAAGTAAATTTAAGTAAATGTTTGATAAGTATAAAGATGCGTTAAGTTTGACAGTGTTACATCCAAGCCTTGCTTTTGATTGAATGGTAGGAAACAAAAACATTCATCTTCCTATGCTGCTGATTTTATAGAAAGGGGAAGCTATTAGTGTGCTGTAACAGCATTTCTGAAGATCATACAAGTGGTATTCAGTTTCATTTATATGTGCATATGTGTGTCATGTTTGTTTCTTAAAAAAACACAAAAAACCTTTGACTGATCTTACAGTTTCAGCATTTAGAATGGTTGTGACGTGCGTGGTTATGTATGGAGAGATGCAAGGAAAACGATAGCCCAACAAATCATGAACAGCTGATAGGTGATCTGGGACAGACTTAACAGTTCTGCGTGGTTCATTCAGATTCTGCTGAGTATAAACTGTATATAAATAAGTTTATTTCAAACCATAGTTGCCGAGGAACTGACATAAAACGAGAGTTGAGTAGATGCAGCGGTATCTGCCTGAGTCTGCAGTCAACACAAAGCAATGTATTTAAGAGTTGGAAAGTTCTTCAGTCCCATTAATCTTATTAAAGCTAATGATGACACATAAAATACTAACAGTACCAATTTAATTTGTGTTGATTTTAGCTGGAATAGGAAGATACATTTTAGCTGATGGAGCTAGTGCTCCCAGACAGTAGAAAAACTGAGGAGGGATACAAAGATTGAAAAAAGAGGGAAAATAGAAGAACAGTAAGGTGCACAGAGCAGAAATAAAAGGTAAACGGTTTAACCATTTTGAATGGGGCTGATTTTAACACCAAAGCAGTGAACAAATAAAAATAACCATGTCTGAGTTTTTGAAATCCTCCTAAGGGATTTTGATGCTCAATTTCCATTAGAACGTGTTAATCCTTTAGGTAGAACTGAAAATCTTAGTCTGAAAGGTTGGTTATTGTATAAAGATTTAACCCACATTTTATTGTTGTTTGAGCCTCATATTGGCATCAGTTGGAATCAGGGTGTGAAATGCAGTAGCGTACACCCCAGATAGGTTAAAAATGGTATTTGTCCCTGTCTAGAGAACAAAATGCCTGACTTTTTTAATATTTGTGCTCAGTTTTCTATCCTATTCTTTCCCTCCCTGTCCCTAAGGCTTTTGCTGTCAGCAGCTACCTGACCCAAATAATCTAGGGTAGAGAAGGTTTCATTCAGTTAAGGAGGGTGAGATCACCTCGTCCACGTGCCTCAACCTGTATGTGGACGTGTAAAGCGCCATAAGCCCTGTTTGTAGAGGCAGCCACAGAGCCCGCCTACCCCAGCTAATGCCGAGGTGCAGTGATCCCAGCTTAGTGCAGCATTAATATAAATAAGTTTGTTAATGGCAGTCCAGCAGCTACATGTCAGAAGGCTCACAACTTTGTGCAACAGGAAAAGAGACACTTATGTTCCCGCAGTGGGGGAGCTCCACCAAGAGCCGGGCTCTCTTATTTGGTAGTGAGCTTTAATCCTTCCATTGTGTGTACTTTTAAGCTGCGTTGTGATGTAATTGGCTTAATCATTACTATTATGTTGCTTTGCACAAGTTAAGATTGTAATTTGACATATGGAAATAAATGGCAACTGGATTAGTGATTTGCAGGTGTCATTTAAGAAAAGGGGGCAGGGAAGAGAGCCTTTCATATTTTGCCAGTGGAACGTGTGCTAATGTACGGAGGCAGAATTACCCCCACAGCCGCATCTCGCGCTGTCCTGAAGCAGGAGCGAGCTCCGCCTGTGCGTTTCTGGGACTGGACTGCTGGGGTCGAGGAAACAGAATTGCATTTCTCATGGATGTGTTCACTGAAGCAGTGCTTTTACATTTCCTTTGGAGAAGACAACTATAGGAGAAAACAGTTCGCTTTTATCCAGAAATCAGCGTAATGGAGACACAGTTCTATTAAAGCAGTGTAATAAGGGTGACATTTCTGATGTGGCTGTGCCAGCACAGCGGAGCTTTAGGCATTGTTCGTGGAACGAGCTGTATTTTTGTCTTGTGACACAGCATAAAGTGATGACCTCGTCTCCGTAATTTAGTAACTCTGGAATTTGTTGAGAAATTCTGTTCCTAACTCCCTTTAAATGGGTGCTGTTGGTATGCTTTTTTTTAATGTTCTTTCTCTGACATAGGATATCCGGTTTTAAA